TAATTTCGATTTAACATCACTAATGATAAATTACAAACACACACCTCATAAAACTTCACGTCTTCACTTCATATCTTTGCTAGTTTCGCTTTTTCTACAAGGGAAGCAAAAGAAAGATATGCATCCCTCTTTCGCTTGCCAAGGGGATTCATAACAAGATCAAAATTCGCTATGTGATTCATTCATTTTTTGGTTTCGATGGTAAATTGGCACTGATACATGCCGGGGAGCAGAAACAGTCATCAGCTTGCTCTTAAGCAACCCTTGGCAACAATGCCAGCGACTGGTCGCTGTTGGCACTTACTATCACTCGAACTATTTCCTGAGTGCTTCTGATTCCCGGGTTTCTTCTCCCACAGAGAGTGAATTCGGAGGGGGTTTCACTTTAGTTCACACTTACTATTCAGTTATTAAGTGTTTTTCTAAATGCGGATACTGCATTTTTTAAATCAGAATGTAAAATTTTTTGTCGCTTTTTCGTTTCAAGAAATAATTTTGACCCCTCCTGAACACGTGGAGGAAAGCGATTTAGTTTGCCTGGTAAGCAAAAGATTTGAAATGTGAATGACAGCACATTCCTGTTTAGCTGATTAATTTTTCTTTGATATTACCTCTCATATATAAAATGTTATATATACATATATATATATAAAATATTGGGAGGTAAGTACACTAAGAATTTTATTAAATTATTTTAAGAGGTGTGAGAGGTAAATATACTTCTTATATTTCATATATATATTTTGCATACTATTCATGCTCATTTTTTTGCATATTATACTTTTCCCTTCTTTCCTTCCTTTCCCACTTTTTTTGCTCCCTCACTTATATCTATTTCTTCCTCTCATCCGTCTTGCAAATCAGTTGCAGGACTATTCAAAATATGGCGGATACTGATGATTCCCACTCCTATACGCATGCTCTGTTCGGTCTGTGTATACAGCTAAGGGATGATACACAGACTGCGTCATAAAACGTCTTCATATACATAACATTCAAGTGAAATCCTTCTATTTTTCTATTTCAAAATCTATTATATTCAACTTAATGGGCCGGAATGCCCTGATCTCATCCAACCATTTCTCATCAATACTATAGGCTTCAGTCGTTAATATGCTTGGTATAGTTCACAGTTAATTGTTATCTGCTTCTTGAATATCAATTATAACTGTTCCAGCCTAGCAAATAACTTGGAAAGACGAGCCAAAATACCCGCAAATGTGTTCAACATTATTGTAAACTGGGGAATTTCGACCTCGAAAGAACAATTTTTATGGAGAACAGAATTGGTTTTTTTGCAAAAAGACTTTTTTAGTTTGTTTGTACTTTGTACCTGTTTTGTGAATCGATTAATAAAATTTGATTGGCGAATCGTTGCCGGTACAAAACCAGTTTCAGCCAAGTGAACTGCTGCAGGAGATTTTAAGTACGTTAGATGCCAGAAAATAGTCGCTTTGCTCGGAGCCACAAGAAAAAAATGCTAAAGAATCGGGTTGGGCCTGATTTAAATCGTCTAAATTTTAGTCAGTTTTGGCAGAAGTTGGAAGTCCGGAATCCGAAACCAGCTGCTGTTGATTTACAAACGACGGGTTTCAGGACACTGGGAATTTGTTCGGATCAAAGCAGCGAAATGCTGTTACACTTCTTCGTCGCTGAATTGGTTTCCGTGGCTGAGAAATAAGACGATTTAGTGGGTTTGCGCTGAAACTCAGTTCCAAACTGGATTGGAAATTTTCAATCAATGAGCGAATGATGGACAACAACTGGCTTGGTAACCAGGAACGAGGAATGCACACAATTGATAAATGACCTACGTTCGTTGTGACGCTATTGTACTGCGACGAATTCCCAGGAGCCTCGTAACGAAACCGAAGTTGAACAACTCGCTCTTGATTAATTCACTTTTTTGTAGCGCGTAATACACTGATGATACATCGAAGTCAGAATCTTTTAACAGAATGATTTATTATGATTATTTTTGGCAAAGTAAGTTCTCTGATCCTTGCTTTGATTAGCTGTAACTCACAGCGCACTTTTCCAGCTGTGGTAATTTTTCCCAGTTGCTTCGATCAGTGTTGCTTCGCTTGGTGGTCATCAGCCTGCTAGCGATCCTGGTGTTTGTTTTGTCATTGAAGAGAAGTTTTTCAGGACCGCTGAAGGCAGTTTTTTCCCCGAATCAACGATTCTTTCTTGATTAATGCATTTTTATAGAGAAACACACTTAAGATACACCGAAATTTCTTCCAGCAAAGTAATTTATTAAACTTATTTTTAGAAAACAAAATTCTTCGCTATGAACAATGCTCCCCACTTTGGCACTTTGGTTACTGGTAACTCACAGCACAGATCTCTGGTTATGATGACTTTTTCAATTGCTTTAATTATTGCTGTTTTACCTGGTAGTCAGCCTGCTGCTGGTGATCCTGATGTTCGTTTTGCCATCACGAGGAGGTTTTTTAAAGTTGTTGAAAATTCCTTATTTTTGGAGAATTGTTTATGAAAAAATAAAAAGCGAGTTGAACTTTGAAGTACAGGTATGAAAGAATGGACCAGAAAATCAACGCATCGAAAAACGAATGTGGTGGAACAAAAAGCTTTTGATGAGTAACTCTTCCGTGAAGAGAACATTGATGTTTCGTTAAATAAGCGGTAAGTAGAAAGCATTTATAGTAGTATGGCGAAAAGAGAATCATGTGGAACAGAAACGTTACATTGTCCGTTCTACCCAAATAGTCAATGAACTTTTCGGATCAGTGAGTACCATACACACGAAAACAGCGGTGTAAACAAGCTTGTTTTTATAGAAGTCAAATCTGCATTCATGTAAGATAAAAAATTTGCAGGTGCTAAAAAAAGGAAACTGGGCTCGCAGTCTCTTTAGAAAGTCAGAGTGGATAAAAGATTAACCGCCAGGCAGTGCCAAAACAACTATGAAATGAAAATGATGCGATTGTTAGTAACATTATTGGGGAACATACCGAAACTTTTTGAGTATCAAGTGTCAGGTAAATGTATATAAAGAATACAAAGGCTGCTCGAACAACTGGTATGAGTATCTCATACCAATGATGTTACTGACTCACTTCCACACGTCGGATGCAGCTATGCCAGGTCCTTCGATCTCGAACTTCAGTATGGTAGCATTTTGAGAGCACCATGCACGTACCGCCGGTCAGCTTGTCATGAATGACCGCTGCCCAGTCGACTGGACCCAGTTGGGTCGGAAAAATCTAGCGACTTTGTTGTCTCAGTTCAAATGATTTGATTCAGAGCCCATTATCTTCGGCTATACGTTAGTATCTCAAAATAACCTGAAAATTACTGCGCTTCGAAGTTGACTGAAACTCAGAAACCCGTTTCCGATTGAGTTAAAAAAACCCTTAAATCCGCCCTCTTTTTGCCTCTGGTTCTTGCTCCTTTTCATCCTTTGTATTTAGTTCCTCGCCAAAAACGAAAACACTCTTTTGTAGATTTTTATGCGTTTTTGCCGTGCAGCGCTAGAGCGCTGCAACAGGCAGCAAAAACGCATATT